CTTAGCCAGTCCCACTAGTTTTCTCCATCACTCATGCGCCTAACTCATTTCTTTTCTCAAAATCCGTTCTAAAATGTCTGTTTTCAGGTTGATTGGTATAGCTTATGTGCTTGGCACGACGTTGATGTTTTTTGGTTTCACAGCGATTATCGCTTGTTTTGCTTTCAATGTTCCTTTCCTTTACACCGTATATGCAGCACTGGGAGCACTACTTTCCATGCTCTACCTAGCAATTGATACACAGGTAAAGTAGGTTTAGAACTGCTTCAGTGAAATAAAATTTTCTGTTTTTCCTTTTTTTTTTCGCGAGATCGAGTGAATTTTGACATTCTATTATTTCTAATATATCAGAAAATTATAAGAATGATGTTAATCTTTTTCAATGCGTGCTTTGTGGCATCGCAGAAGCGTACCACTGATATAGAGATTTGAAGTTATACTTCTCACGGGTTATTACGATTTTGAACCAGCCCCCAGCCCGAGCTTCAGGAAAGCAGAAGAAAAGATTCATGGCTTTCAAAAAGTAGAGAAATAAGAGATTGGACGAGAATGTGACGGCAAAAGTTGCTTGTAAGGGGTATTCGGACGAGCTGCCCAAATGTGTGCACCGTTGTGTACCTGGCTCCAATAAGCTGCCTACGTGAAAAGTGTGGTTTTCGGTGCGAATGCGGCCTCTACAGCCATTACAACACGTCCGCTTCAGGTGTGTACGTGGCGGAGCCAATTTTGGGGCTCTTCTTACACCCTATCTAGGCCGTTTTCGACCCGATAGCTTCCCTTGTACTAAGGTCTTCTTCTTAGGGTCACAGATTCATCTCAGGAAGAGATCTCGGGAAGCAGTTTCATGGTGAACAGTGCTAAAGGCACAAGAGCAGCATCCTCAATCAAGCCGGAATTCTCCCACATCCTCCGTTGCTTTTTGAACTACATACATCCTGTGCAGCTGATTGACATTCTCTATCTAAACTTTCCTGATTGCAATTCTTTCAGATTCCATCGCTCCGAAACCTTTCCTAGTACAACACTAACTGACAACTCCAGACGTCTTCTTTTCTTTCCCTTATCCTCTTTGCTAAACTGTATAATCACCTATCCCTCTCGCCTACCTTTTTAACTATTTGCCTCCCTATTCCCCCTTTGAAAGCTATCTAAATTACCTATGAAACGATTACCGGTTTAAATTTCTATTTAACTGATTGATTACTAAAAAAGGAGGAAAATGTAATTGAATAGCTTCGAAATTATACGAGGGCATTGCGGATACAACATGATGGAACTTTTCATTTTCAGCTGCTGATGGGTGGACGACAATTCGAGCTGTCACCAGAAGAATACATCTTTGCTGCAATGCAAATATTTCTTGACATTCTCAACATTTTCCTTTTTGTTTTGCAGATCTTTGGCAAAACGAATTGATCTCATCGAAAATATGCCCTACCTGATGAAAAATGAATAAAAATCAAAAAAGCTTCAGTGGTGTCTGTTTTCTGATGAAGTTACAGAAAGTGAAATCATCAGGAACAACATATTTTATCTGTGAGAACGCCTCTCTAAGCGTTACAAGAAGAAAATGGATACGCTGTTGCTCGACTGGTACAGAATACTGGCAACAGTGAAGAATGAAGTATCAAATACACTACAATTGGATGAAAAAATGTACTACCTAACCTATTTGACCCTCACTTTTGGAAATTTGAGCTTGATTTTTGCAAAAACTTTTTTCTGGGACAACATGAGTTACACAGAAAGTATGCA